ATCAGATGGCAAGTCAAAAAGTCAAAATTTTGACCAATTCATTATTATTATTATTTACTTTTTCTATGTATTTATTATTATTAATTAATATTTTTGTCTTGAGTTTTAGATACTCTGTCTTATTTAATAAGTTATTGAATAATGATTTAAAAATATAATAAAGTCACATGCTAAAAATATAATTGTTTGGAATAATAATGATGTAACGTTACATGGAATGAATTTTAAAATATGGTTTTATTACATTTGAAATTAGGTGGAAAGTGCTTTCACACCTAATAAATCATGTTTTAAAAGTTTGGACGTCGAAATTAAAAAATTAATAAATTTGATTAGATTATGTATTCGATTTGAATAGATTTTGAAACTTTAATAATTTCAATTTCGGGTTTTTAGCATCGTTAGTAACGATTCATTGGGCAAAAAAGGCTCGATCGAAAGAATGGGTAAGTAGAACCCTAGAACGAGTGAGATCCCACGTCAGTAGTGAGAATATTCGTTGAAACCACCCTACCTAAATGGTGTGAAAGTTGTCTATTATAATCAAATAAATGACAATTATATGCAAAGGGTAATAAACAGAAATAACCATAAATGAAAGACACATATGGTAAGCGGTATAGAATGCAAATATCTAGGTATTTGCCTATAATAAAATATCAAATATAATATATATGGTAAATTATAATTCATGACTAAATATCTTCAACTGGTAGGAGAGGAGAATCAAACATTCTTTATGAGGGTGTGAAAACCTCTCCCTATCAGACGTATTTTAAAACTATGAGGTTGGTGGCGATACATAACAGGCCAAAACGGACGATATCTACTAGCGGTGAATTTGAGCTGTTACAATGGTATCAGAGCTAGACAACAGGCAATGTGACAACGATGACACTGGGCCGTATGGGAAGTGGATTGTGAGATCTCATATCGGTTGGAGAGGAGAATAGAACATTCATGATAAGAATGTGGAAATCTCTTCGTAATAGACGCGTTTTAAAAACTTTGAGGGAAAACTCAAAAGAAAAAAAAAAAAAAAAATATATATATATATATATATATATATATATATATATATATATATAAATTCAAAATTATTATTTGTACAAAGTTGGTAAAAAAGCAATCTTGTAAGGATAGACCTTATCCAAATAGAATTCTTTTATTTTTTTTAATAATAATTATTTATTTTTTCATTTTTTAAAATTTGAAACATGACTTGGTCACATTACAAGAATTTAAATTATTTCAAATATTGAAAATTTTGTAATATGAATGGATTTTGCGCGTTATTTAACTTGACTTTTTGTGTCTCGAGTTTCGGTCTTATTACAAGAAGTGTTGAGTTGGTTCTCACTACTTTATTTTTTGTTTCACATAAACGATCTCGTATCAATGAAAATACTTTTCATCTAGCCGATTCGAGACTTTGATTGTGAGATCCTGTATTGGTTAGACGGTATCATTTCACATTTGGGTTTTGGCTGTTATAAATGATATCAAAGTGAGACAATGAATGGTGTGCCAACAAGGACGTTGACCCCTAATAGGAGTAGATTGTGAGATCACATATTAGTTGGAGAAGGGAACGAATGATTCCAACTAATGTGAAGCTTCATCCATTTTAGACGGACACCGACTCTTTGATTTAAGCTCTCTCGAGGGATTACCAAACACAGTCTAAGTTTTACTATAGGGTATCTTCAAATCTATAGAATCTCCAATAATGTCGCCCCATTCTCGCAATTCATGCTCGGGGACGTTTTGGGAACGAAATTTAGTTTGAAGTCGACCTCGAGCTCTTGATGCCTTTTGCATTATTGCATTCTGTTCTTTGACTTTGTTTGGTCCTTATTTACGCAGTCAAACAATTATTTAATGGATATATTCAATCACCAAATTTTTATTTATTTTTTAATTTATCTATTAAACTAAATTTTAACAAAGATCATTAAAAATATCTAAAGTTTGTTTAATATTGGTTTTTATATAAATATTTATTATCCAATTATTTTATGACATAAATCAGTCGTCATTATTACATAATTTGGCAAAAATAAAATTATTTTTAAAAATCCAAAAGTTTTTTTTTATTTAATCCATAGGATAATATGTTATGGGCTCATACCAGTTGGGCTTGGGCTTGGGCTGGTTTCTTGGTTCATATGTAAGCCCATGGTTAGGTTTGTACATTTGAGCTTTCAAAACTCGTTATTTATTAGAGGTTTAAATGATCCGATAATTCGATGAAACTATTAAAATTCAAACTATAAAAATTGAGTCGGGTTAGTTTTTTTTCTTTAGTTCGGGTTGTTAAAAAATTCGGTTCGGTTTTATGGGTTGACATTCTTTTATTAGGTCAACCCTATCAACCTAAAAAATAGAATATGTAACGTTTAAAAAATTAAGGATATTTAACGTTTGTAATCTATGTTAATGATACGTAGTAACTTGTAAATATTTGGTATTTGAACTTTACGAGGTTTTAATTATTAATATAATATATATGGTGGTTAAGTAAGATTTTTTAAAATAACAATAGAACAACCCAACCCGAAAATAGAGAATTGAGTTACTCAAGTGTGAGATTCCACATCGGTTGAGAGGGGAACAAGGCATTCCTTATAGGGGTGTGGAAACCTCTCCCTAGCAAACTCGTTTTAAAACTGTTAGGCTGACGACGATACGTAAGAGCTAAAGTGGATAATATCTATTAGCAGTGGGTTTGAGCCATTACAAATGATATCAAAGCTAGTCACCGAATGGTGTGCAAGTGTGGATGTTGGGCCCTCAAGGGGATGAATTGTGAGATCTTACATAAGTTGGAGAAGGAAACTAAACATCTTCTTAGCAGACACATTTTAAAACTATGAGACATACGACAATATGTAACAAGCTAAAACGGACAATATCTGTGAACAGTAGGCTTGAGCCACTACATCGGGTTACCAACTCAATCAACCTAAAATTTCGATGATAAAATAATAAATTATTTATTTATTTATTTTTGTTTATTTCAAAATCAATTTGATTGGGATTGTGGGAAGTGCACCTTTATTGGTGCTCCACTCCCTTTCATGTGCCCAATGCTTCTAATATAATATATCAATCCCTTTTTTAAGGCTACGAAATTGATGAAAAATGTTCGAGATCTCGATCTCTGTAGCTACATATGAAAATATCAGTAACTAATAGGTCGATATTTGTTCGTGAAAAAAAAAAATAGTAACGTGATATTTTTTTTGTTGAGTCGACCTTAACGACACTTTAACCAATTCTACCCTACTTTTGATATTATTACGAAAATTTAGTGAGGATTGAGCTGTGAACTCTATTTAACTTATTTGAGTGTGAGATTCAACGTCGGTTGGAAAAAGAAACGAAACATTTATTTATAAAAGATTAAGAGTACTTAATTAGTGATAGAGTTCAACAGCTTAATGTCACCGCTAGTCGATGTTGTCCGTTTTAGCCCGTTACGTATCGTTGTTAGTTTCATGGTTTTAAAACGCGTTTGCTAGGGAGAGGTTTCCACAACCTTATAAAGGGTGTTTCGTTCTCCTCCCCAACTAGTGTGGGATATCAAAATTCATCTCATTTAGGGCTCAGTGTCCTTACTGACACTCGTTCCTTTCTCCACTCGATATGGGATCCCCACCAAATCCACCTCCTTCGGGGCCACCATCATTGCTGGCACACTGCCTTGTGTTTACCCCCTTAGGAGAACAACCTCCTCGCTGGCACATCACCCCGTGTCTAGCTCTAATACCATTTGTAATAGTCCAATGCCACCGGTAGCAAATATTGTCCGTTTTGACCCGTTACGTATCGTTGTTAACCTCATAGTTTTAAAACATGTCTATTATTATAGGGAGGTTTCTACACCCTATAAAAGGGTGTTTCGTGTTTCGTTGTCCTCCCCAACCGATGAGAACTTTAGGAGAATTTAATAATTAATATGATATACGTCACTCTTTTGGACCACCGCCCTACAAATTAAGGGCCCTCATCCAAGTTGGGGTCATGGCTTTTAAGTCTACAACCTAACCCTATTCACATGTAAATATTTATGATTTATAAATTATTTTCAATAATTTCATAGCTTAATTAATACAACAACTCCCAAATATTCCTTTAATTATTTTTATTTTTAGTGCCCTAATTTCTTAATTTTAAATTAATTTATGGATTAAATTAATTTTTTACTCAATAATTAATTGAATTTAATAACGTTTGTGGGTATGCAAGTCTCGAGATCACAAATGCTAAGATTTCAAATCATGATTTTATCGTGAGAATATGAGTTGAACTTGAACCGTTATTATGTCCGTAAATATCAAATATTTAAATCTCTCTGCCTTTCTCAATCTTAGGATAGAATTAAAAAACAATAATAATAAATAATACGCTAATTAATAAAAATATATTTAAACTTTATATTTTGTCTTTAAAATATTTATAAATATCAAAATTTTTAATAATATTATTAAATTAAAAAAAAAAACTTTTCCAATATACCTTAAAAAATACCTTTGAAATTTAATTTTTTTTATTAATATCTTTAATTTCTTTTTTTTTTTAATTCGAATTATATTTAAAAAATAGTATTAATACCCTTAACTTTTATATTAAAATAAAAGTTATCGGGTCAACCTCCATTTCTAAATATTTTAAATTTTTTTATAAAAATTTAAGACGATATTAATATTATTATTTGAAAGTTCATAGATATTTTTTAAACGTCGTACTAATTGTTACGTTCTTTTTGTAATTGTTTAAAAAAAAATTAAGGGTATTTTAAAAATAATTTTAAAACTGCAATAGTATTTTTGAAATAAAATATTAATAAATTTTATTTTCCATTTTTTAAAATTTAATACAATTGATAATATATTTAAATATTATAATTAAAAGTCAAAAGAATTAAAGCTTGTGCATGGTCGATGGCATAATTGTTTTAAATAAATAAATAAATAAATAAATAAACAAAACCCAATACTTCATTCCTTGCACGAGCTGGATTCCCTCCTCAGCCTTCATTTCCTTCATAACAATACTAAGAATAAACAAATTTTCAAACAAAAAGAATCCCAAAATCCGAAGCATTTTTGATCAATTCTTTCCCCTTTTGAGATTGTAATGTAATCCAAATCCGACTTCCCGAGGTGGACGACCGATCGTAGTTCGACTTTGGTGTTATTGAATACAAATTTCGTCTTCTTATGTTCTCTCCGTCTCTGATTCCTTTCTCTGAGTTGCGTTCTTCGAATCTCACTCCATTTTCTCTCTTATTTGCTTCATTGCAACGCCGCCCATTTCTCTGAATTTCCTATTTCTTTGGAATCAGTTCACTTCGAAGGTATCTTTCACTTACCCTGTTTGTATTTCTGAAATGGAAATGGAAAAAACTCGTTTCTACTTCGTCTACTGTTGATTTGTTATCTGGGTTTGGTTCTTTTTTCTGATTTTGAATGGTTTTTTTTTTGCTTTGTACTGGTGGAGAACTGTTGAACTTAGCGGATTTGGTTTAGTAATCTCTGACCCATTTATCTGCTGGGATTTGTTTCTTTTGCCTTTTTTTTGTGTTGGATGTTGGAAATTTGAAGTGTTTGAGCGTTGGATGTTGATTGTTGTGCTTGAGAATTTCATTGTAATGAGATGCAGATCAAGTGTTTGATGAAATGGAAGCGAAGATATGGTGAAATCTGAGTGATATTGTGATTGTTCATGTTTGTTCTTCTTTCATGTTTTCTCTTTTTAATACGTGTGTATTGTTTAGTATGAGTTATGAGTCTTCTTCTTGCAGGGTTTTGTGATGGGTTAAGCCAGTGGATTGATAATTGGGAAGCAGGAAGGGAGGAGATGAAAGGGGAGTCATCTGGGCTGATTATTGGAATTTCAATAGGAGTTGTGATTGGTGTTCTTTTGGCGATTTCGACTCTCTTTTGCTTTAGGTACCAACGGAGACGTTCTCAGATAGGAAATAGCAGTTCCCGGAGGGCTACAACGATTCCTATTCGGATCAATGGTGCTGACTCTTGCACTATTCTATCAGACTCAACCTTAGCTCCAGAGTCACCTGTTAAATCTGGCCACAATGGCATGTCACAATGGCTTGATGGATTCAAGAAAAGTAATGTGGTTGCAACTTCTGGAATACTCGAGTATTCGTACAGGTGTGTGTTCTTACAAACTCTGTAGTGATAGGTTTGATGAATGATCTTTTAGGATATTGTGATCGTTTATGATAAAGAGTGGCTTGATAGTTCTCGAGACCTGTGTTTGAATTCGATGTTATTGCTGGACGTATCTTGAGAACCACTAGCTCCTTAGGACCTTAGAGTTTTGTTCTTTGATAATATGGCAGGGATCTGCAAAAGGCTACGTCCAATTTCACAACTGTAATAGGACAAGGAGCGTTTGGTCCTGTTTATAGAGCTCAAATGGCAGGCGGTGAAACGGTTGCGGTTAAGGTGCTTGCAACTGATTCCAAACAAGGGGAGAAAGAGTTCCAAACAGAGGTGATTCATCATTCTTCAAATATTTTGATAAATCTTCTTCTTATGCTGTTTGAAGCCTTCATCTGGATAGACTGTTTGACAGAATTTAATGATTGTGCTCTGTTTTGTTGTGATATAATGAAAGATTTTATGCATCTTTATCTTTAAACAATCACCCATTCTTACTGATTGATTCATAACAGCTTCGTGCTTTTTGTTTATCCGATTCATCCACTAAACCTTCTTCGGTTTACCAGGTTATGCTTCTCGGAAGGTTGCATCATAGAAACCTTGTAAATTTGGTCGGTTACTGTGCTGAAAAAGCCCAACATATACTTGTATATGTGTACATGAGCAAAGGAAGCGTGGCTTCTCACTTATACGGTAAAGTTTAATATAAAGTACAAGCATTAGTTAATATAAATGCAAAATGAGCCAAACATATGTTTTTATCACATCTTTCTTCATGGGGATGTTTTGAGAGGGCTATCCGTGAGATCCCACATCGGTTGGGGAAAAGAACAAAACATTCTTTATAAGGGTGTAGAAACCTCTTCTTAGCAGGTGCGTTTTAAAAACCTTGAGGGGACTGAAAAGGGAAGCCCAAAGAGGACAATATTTGCTAGCGGTGGGCTTGGGCCGTTACAAATGGAATTATAGCTAGACACTGGCGATGTGCCGGTGAGAAGGTTGAGCCTTGAAGGGGGGTGGACACGAGTCGGTGTGCCAAAAAGGACGCTGGGCCTCGAAGGGCGGGGTGGATACGAGGCAGTGTGCCAATAAGGATGCTGGGCCTCGAAGGGGGGTGGATTGTGAGAACCCACGTCGGTTGGGGAGGAGAATGAAGCATTCATTATAAGCGTGTGAAAACCTCTCCCTAGCAGACGCGTTTTAAAAACCTTGAGGGGAAGCCTAGAAGGAAAAACTCAAAAAGGACAATATCTGCTAGCGGTGGGCTTGAGCCCTTACGTTATCTCTCTCCCTAATTCCCACAAATGGACAATCCGCCAAAATGAATCCCCTCCAAAGTCCCTAAATCCCCCTTATGTATAACCAAACAATCTTACCTAATCACTACTATGCACTTACTAATATTCTTAATATGACCCCTATTAGTACTCTCACCGCGTCTCCTTGAAGGAACATCTTTTTTTGGTTAAAATGACGGTACGATATGCTTCTTTATCAGTTTCTTGGGAAGTGACACACTCTCTTTGGTTTGCAGGCGGGAAGAATGAACCATTGAGCTGGGATCTGCGGGTTCGTGTGGCATTAGATGTTGCACGGGGACTGGAATATCTTCACGATGGTGTAAGTTATGATATAACCTTGATGGACTCCGAGCTTACTAGCTTTTGCAACCTTATAAATCAATCTTGGGGTATTTCTATGATATTACTGCAGGCCGTTCCACCAGTAATACATCGGGATATCAAGTCTTCAAATATTTTGTTGGATGATTCCATGAGGGCTAGGGTATGTTTTCTTTCATTTGTGAAAACTGCCTGCATATGAAGAATTATAATTTGTTCTTGAAGTGTTTATATATGTTGTCTGCTTATTCGTGATCAAGCAGGTGGCCGATTTCGGGCTTTCCAGAGAAGAGATGGTCGATAAACATGTATCCAATATTCGTGGAACTTTTGGGTACCTAGATCCCGAATATATATCTACTAGAAAATTCACAAAGAAAAGTGACGTTTACAGCTTTGGAGTATTGCTTTTCGAGCTTATAGCTGGCAGAACCCCACAACAAGGCCTTATGGAGTATGTTGAACTTGTAAGTTCACTCTCTTCTCATCACCAATATTTTCGACAAAATAAATATTATTTCACGATTCTTTTCTTGAATGGAAACATTTTTTGAGACATTGAAGCTTGTTTAATTCCCGACTTTAATCTGCCAAGTTAAGGCCAGAATTGGCGTTCCAACTTATATGTCTTTTCGTTACGAGATGTATAGGCAGCAATGACTTCGGATGGGAAAGTTGGGTGGGAAGAAATTGTGGACGATCGTTTAGATGGAAACTTTAATGTACAAGAGCTGAACGAAGTTTCATCTCTTGCATATAGATGTGTTAACCGTAGCCCTCGAAAACGGCCTTCCATGAGAGATATCGTACAAGTGATCTCACGGATTAACAACTTTAGGCTCGAACAAAAGCATCATAGAAAATCTCTGTCAGCCACGACAGATGATGTTTCTATTGACATTGACCACTCCGAGCACTTTAGAAAGGATTCAATGGACAGTGCTTCTGATACCCATGAAATTTAGAGCATAGCTTCCCTTTTTGGTTTTTCTCTTGATTGTTTGTCTTGTGATTCTATTCTCTTTGACTGTGTATGATAGGTGATTCTTCCATTTTTCTTTAATGACCTTGAAATTTTGTACATTACTCAGAATAGAGAGCTTTGTATAGTTTCATCATTGTAATGACTCGAGAACTTTCCTTGTGTAGTTTGTGAATGAAAACATCAAAATATTGTTCGTTTTTGTCACTTTTATATGCGGTAGGTAGAACTTTTATAATGTAACAGTCAAAGCCTACCGCTAGCAGATATTGTCCTCTTTGGGTTTTCCCTCTCGAGCTTTCCCTCAAAGTTTTTAAAACGCGTCTGCTAGGGAAAGGTTTGCACACCCTTATAAAGAATGTTTCGTTCTCCTCTCCAACCGATGTGGAATCTCACAATCCACCCCTTTTGGGGCCTAGTGTCCTTACTGGCACACCACCTCGTGTCCACCCTCTTTGGAGCTCAGTCTCCTCGCTGACTCATCGCCCCGTGTCTAGCTTTGATATCATTTGTAACGGCCCAAGTCCACCACTAGCAGATATTGTCCTTTTTAGGCTTTCCCTTTCGGGCTTCCCTCTAGAGAGAGGTTTCCACACCCTTATAAAAAATGATTCGTTCTCCTCGCCAATCGATATGAGATCTCATAACAAAAATCTACGTTCATCATTAATGGTCAATGTGGGCTTCGCTGGCTTGAGAAAGAAAGGAAGATAGAGAGGGCCAATTGGGACGATAAGATGATTGAGAGAGATATGTTTGGAGTAGTTAAGAACAACATCCTTAGTGAAAACTGATTGTAGGTGTTGAAAAATAAAGGCAATCACACCTAGATCTAGGCTGGAAACTGTGGCCAGAGCAATTAAAACACAGGGAATGGGATATGTTCTTTCCTTTTAAGTATGATGGAAAATCTTCTCCTTGGTTAGTTTTCATACCAGATGGCTTAATCATACAGAGTAGATGTGAGATCCCACATTGGTTGGAGAGGGGAACGAAACATTCTTTATAAGGGTAAGGATGCTGAGCCCCAAAGGAGGTGGACACCGAGCGGTGTACCAGTGAGGACGTTGGGGGGTGGATTATGAGATCCCACATCGGTTAGAGAGGGGAACAAAACATTTTTTATAAGAGTGTGGAAACCTCTCCCTAGCAGACGCGTTTTAAAAACCTCGAGGGAAAGCCCAAAGACTAGCAGTGGACTTAAGCGGTTCAGTAGAACTAGAGTTGAGCTTACACAAGTCTACTAATGTGAGCTCATGTGAAAGGACATACTCATATCAAATGATAGAAAAAGTCGAAAACTCGGTTTAGTAGTGCAACAAAAGTCCTCATCTCTCTAGTAACCGAGCACTTGCCCATCGCTATGGCAAGTGGAAGTAACCCCACACAAGGAGTCTGAGTCAAAAATTGGCCAAATTTTCAAATTTTGAATTGAGGTTCATCTACTCCCAAACCAACCCCATTCCGACATTTAAGACTCTCATTCAATTCCTACTGTCCAAGAATACTATTCTTGTTCTTTTCTCTCCAAATGTTCTATTGCTGTCCATGTGCATCAATGGAGCTTTAAAAGCTGTACTGTCCTGATGTAGCAGCAAAAGTAAATGATATTCTATCATTTAGTCTTACCCAAATTAGTTGCATATGGTAGATGCATTTCTTTAAACACACCTCCCATGTAGTGTCGAGGTTTTATACAACCCGTTCTACGAAAATCGAGCCTTTGATTTATTGATATGTAGAAGTACGTGTTTTAGTCTATGTACTTTAAAGTATAATGTTCGAGTCTCAGGTCTTAAGCATCTTATTATAACAACAATGAGTGCGGTTAATCTGCTTATTCCAGTGAACAAAGAAACTCGATGGGTAGGGCCCAATAATCAAAAGAGGACGAACTTGGTTCGTTACAGGAAAGGCTAAACTGGGATTATTACATCTGAATGAGAGGACTGATTTGAATTTGAACTCATCGTTTGATTCAGAGTCCTACCCTATAGCTAGTCTGTTACACTACTTTGATTCAGAGTCCCGCACTAGCAGGAAACTGCAGGCTCGAGAGACCTCCTTGCTTGAAAGAAAGAAGGGAAGAGCTACTCTCTGACTTTCGATTGTGCAAGTTAGTTTCTTTCCCTTGCTCGTATTTCATGCATCTGTGAAGGTGAAGATACTCAGTATAGTTTCACCTTGATCGTTATATATATGAATCGGGAATCCTTACATAACGATTCGAAGTGGAATTCGAATCGAGTTGAATAATACCATTATAAACTCGAAAACAAACGATAAACCACAAACTTTGTGTTGGCTTCCTTATCTTCATGGTTTGCAGATCACAACAAAACAAGGAAGCAAAGCTTTAGGATTGAGCAAGTAAAGCTCTTCAATGGTGGAATGTAATCCCACTTTGCCAGCCAAAGAGTCAAACCCTGCTTGGCCAACCATATCTTTGATGTTCTCCAATGGCCTATGAACCCTCCCTGCAATCACTCTGCAAATTATCAATGCTTTCTTCACCGAGGTTTCTTCGGTTGTTTCAATGGTTTTGAAAGCTTTTCCGCTCGTCGAAGTCGTGAAAACTCCTACTCCTTCTTTCATATCCTTCTCTGCTGAGAAACCATTCCTTATAATTCTGCAGACACTGCATTTCTGTGATATGCAGAGGGTGGACGAGCCGTTTAGTCCAAGAGTGCAGGCTAACGTCGTCCCGTAAAACCTCAGCAGCTCGTTCCCGTCCGCGAGGCATCGAGGGTGTTTCTTTGAAAGCTTGCTTGCCTTGATCTTCACCATTTCCCTGTGTTCTTCAAATCCTGCCAATGCTTTTTGCATATTGTGAACTTTGAAAACTCGTTCGATTCGGTTACTGTTGTTCTCCGACTTCGACAAGTTTGTTCGACATATTATTTCGACAATCTTCCTTGATGAATCGCCCTCCTCAAGCTCGGTAACTGAGAAAAAAAGAACAGAAAGAAACGTGAAACTCCATGAACGTCTGAACTCGAAGACGAGTAGCCATTTTGGTAAACCAATAGAAACATTATCAGTAAGGATAGCTATCTAACCAGCATGCTTGGAGAGATGGTGAGACTCAGCAGCCTCCAATTTGCAGAACTGCTCTCCACATTTATGGCAAGTAACCATCGAAAACGTCCTACCGTTTGATTCAGTTAGCGGCATGAACCGTTTGCTTGTACGAACTTCCCCACCTCCCTTGGATTTAGCAGTACTCCCATCTCTATAGGACAAAAGAGAAGGAAGCTTCCTTGTTGCAGATATGGAGGTAGTACTAGAAGGGGAGTTGGACCCCGGACCGGGAGTTCCGGGCCTTAGTGTACCGAAAAATGGCGAATTCCCACCTCCACCCCTGCTAAGATCAGAATTTCCCCCACCCTCTTGGTGGAAGCTTCCAAAACCAGTGATCTTGAGCTCACACTTTGAGTTGCTTAGTATTACTTCATGAGCAATCGGGTTGAGGAACTCGCTGCTACCGATCGACCTCGGGCTGCAAATTGGCGGGTTTTCGATGTGCCTCTTGCTTCCATGGATGACGTCTTTGAGATTTGCTATGGACCTTGAACAGCCAGACCTTCCGGAAGAACAGCCTGACTTTTTGGCTGCTTTCTTTGTTGTGATTGTGTTCAGTTGTTTCCTGCACTTTGGATCATACACTTCGGATGGCTCTGGTTTGCAGGGGAAGGACTTTTTCAGAGAAAACCAAACTTTAGGCATGTTTTCTTTCTCCTCTCCCTTCAAATCATTGGAACGTTACGTTCCTCCATGTCTCGACGTCCAACCATTAAGCTTGGCAGGCAGCGTCGTGTCGAAACAGGTTGAAGAAGACGACCGAGACGTCGACAGAGATGAAGGAAACAAAGCAGCTATGGATGCTAGAGAACATAGAGAGATGCAGAGGAAAACAACTATACATACATCTATATATATGTGTGTAATTTATTACTTGAAACTAAAATAATTATTATTTCTATAGGCCAAGAACTCGGACCTCTTAACTAGCCTACTATTTACGAGAATTTTTGCTTTAGTATTGCGACTTATCGTGGCATTGAGACCTACAAAAAGAACGTTGGAACACCATGTAGAGCTTGGATACTATAACGAAACGACAAACATTGTGCTTATGAGTTGCTAGAACTCATACGTTATAGGTAGTAGTAGATAGCATCCCAATGTTCGTCTCTCGAGTTTTGTATTTGTTGGGTGTCTAGATGCTACCCCCATAACTATTTAATGACTATCGATTTATTGGTCAAGATTGTTTAAATTTCTTGACATATTTGGAATGATACTCTGCTAACATAATTTTACTACTTAAATTAGGCTATTTAAGTTTAAATTATTATCATTTTCTTAGAATTTTGTGGAGTAATTAAAAAAAAATTCGTTTTACTCGCTTCATTATTTAAACGTGGACTAAAGTCATAAAATTATCCGTGAAATTTGTATTTTTAGGTAAAAAATATCCTAAACTTTCAACTTTCAAAAGCTTCAATAAATCTTTAAAAGTTTCCAAAAAAAGTTAAAAAATATTATTACCGTCCAACTGGCACGTAGCGACCTGCTCTCGCCGCGAGAGCAACTTGAGTAGTCCACCAATAGCCGACAGGTTTGAGACTGTGACTCCTGTGCCCAGCCCTCAGAGCCAATCCTTTACTTGAGGTTACAGATCCATTTTGCCGACTTCCCTTGCCTACATTGTTCCATCGACCAGAGGTTGTTCACCGTAGAGACCTAATGCAATTATGAGTGCAACCGGGCGAGTTTTGAATGTAAATCATTAATACTTTGTTTCATAAATACCCTTAAACTAAAAAAAAAAAAAAAAAAAAAAAAAAAAAAAA